AAGAAATGAAAGTTAAATTACATTGTAGTTAACTTCATATTTACAGTAGCTTTTTGTTTTCTTTGGAATGTACATTTGCCTTCTGTTTTTTCTAGTCAGAAGAAATGCTGGTTGATTTCTAGATCTCATTATGTAATCTTATCCTCATAACAGACCTCTAATATGAACTAGGACGTGTTATCTTCAGTTACACAAGCAAGGGATTTGAGGAACAGAGGTGTTGAATAATTTGCCCAAGTCATATTTTTAATAATTGGCTAATTAGGTACTTGAACGTCCCTTTAATCTGGCTTCAAAGCTTTCGACTATACCACTTGTTAATAGATTAGCTCTAGATGCTGAGGGAAAGAGAAATCTCAAAGATGATGTTTGCTGTGAGGTTGGAAGAGTTCTGATAGAAGGGAGAATTATACCTGGAAGGCAAGTTCTTTTTCAGACTGGCTGTATGAAGTGAAAACAGACATTCTCAGTTTGAATATTAGGAATGGGCATGTAGATGTAAGACTAGGGTTCATCTAGATAGGAATATTTGTTGTCTTCATTGTGGTTTTTATTGAAAGAATTTAACTTCTATCCTCGAGGAAGTAAATCTACATTAGAGAGGATCTGTTGAGGAGTATGAGTTTGGAAGTGCAGTAAAAGAATCACCTGAAGTAGTAGAAGATAGATGTGTCATAAATTAGGCTGTACAAGTAGAAATGTAGCATTCAGTGCACTGTTTAAAAAATGAATTTCTACTTAATTTCTACTAATTGCATTCTGATGTTACAGTCTCTAGAAGATGGTTATTTATGATCTATCCAGATTTTTAGTTAATCCAGATTCCTAGTTAGGTCCTTTGGCCTTGAAATCATGAAAATGATGACTTTAAAAGTGAAAGATGTATAAAAGTTTAATAACATTTACATTTGCAGGTATAGGTATTCAAGTCTCTGAAGTTAGGAATTTTCTAGAGCAGTATTGGTTATCCAAACACAAAATAATCAGTGAAGGACCACTTAAAATACTAGCTTTTCACTCCATTATTATTCTCCACTCATCATATGCTTCTTTCTTTGCCTATTGACATTATTTTGTTTGTGAGGATCACCGTTATTCTCTCCAGTTTTTGGTATAAATAGCTGATAATATGATACAAACCAATTATTTTCTTTTGCCAAAATGTAAGGGATTTTAACTTGTTTTGTTCACTGCTAATTCCTTAGCAGCTAGAACAGTAACTAACACATACATTCAGTAAGTTTTTGGTGAGTGAATTAATGAATTATAAGCAAATTTCAAAAAATAATGACTTGACTGTCCAAGAGAGATTCTTGGAAACATTATTAAATGCTTATATATGTTTGCAAGGGTGGGCCTTATGATTGTGTGGCCAAAGGAAAAAAGTGTTTTGTCCATCAAACAGTTTCATCTGAAAAATTATGACTCCTAAACCATTAGGCGTCATTCAGTTTGTTTCTTGTTCCATGAGAATTATCACAGTTACAATAATAATGTAAATTATGTTAAAGAAAAATCTTTTTTCACCATTTTTTCCTGCATTTAGGGTTAAACTTTTGTTTTGCCTTTTACTATTAATTTTAGTTCTTGTTCTAAGTGCTTCAACTGTAAGCAACCTTTTTCACTTACCAGATATAAGACACTTTAAACTCCTTGCAGACAATGATAACAAAAAAACCCAAACTCACTGCCTTTGAGTCGATTCTGACTCACAGTGACCCTCATTGGGTTTCTGAGGAGGTAAATCTTTATGGAAGTAGATTGCCCCATCTTCCTTTTGTGGAGTGGCTGGTGAGTTTGAACCACCAACCTTCTGGTTAGCAGTCAAATACCTTAGGTACTACACCACCAGAGGTATGAACGGCCAGAGAATTTTGCTACCTTGTAGAAAACTTTCATCATTTATAACTGCTCTGTAATTGTGTATTTCTTGTATACTACTGCCTCCTGTTGTGAAAGGAAGAAATATAAACCTTGCTGATGAAAAAAGTCCATGGGCAAACTACATTTTTGTTGGTTATGGTTGAGATAGCTCCCACTCACTGTGACCCCATGAAAGGAAAGAAACAATGCCAGGTCCTTTGCCATTTTCATGAGTTAGTAGGTTAGAGTGTACGGTTGAAGCTATTGTGTCAATCAGTACATCTCATTGAGGGTTTCTTTTGCCTTTGCTGGCCCTCTGTTTACCAAACTTGATATCCTTTGTTGAGGTCAGTCTCTCCTGATGATGCCTCCAAAGTAAGCAGTTGAAGTCTTGGGCAATATTCTGTGATCCGCTGGCTAATTTTTGGAAGTAGATTTCCAGGCTTATCTTCCTAGTGTGTCTTAGTCTGGAAGCTCTGCTGAAATCTGTCCACCACGGATGACCTGCTGGTATTTGAAATACATACCTGCGGAATCATTGAAAAACACAAGCCACCGCAGTATGACAAACTACATAGTGATGGTGAAAAACTACATAAGCACGGCTAATTTTAAGATAGTTTACTTTATTGCTGGTTCATGCTAAATCACTAATTTATTAACTGTCATATATAGTTTCATAGGGCTGCTGTAACAAAATATAGGCAGTACTTGGGTTACAAACAATCCAACTTATGTATAACCCATAGTTAACAACCAACCCCTATAAAGTCCATTATATTAAAAATTTGAGAAACATAACAATAGTTCATAATGACAAAGGTTGCTACTTTGCATTATGTATCAAAACATTATTATTGCTGTATTATTATGTTTAGCTGACTGTTCCAACTTAGCATAAAAATTCAACTTAAAGACTGACTTAGGAATGGAACTCATTCATAATCTTGGGGCTACCTGCATCATAAAGTTGGGTGGTTTTTACATAATACAATTGTACTTTCTCACAGTGTACCAGGGCATTGAGAGAGACTGTTCCATGCCTCTCTCCTTACTTCTAGTGGCTGCTGGAAGCCGTTGGTGTTCTTTCTCTGCTTATAGATGTATCTTCATATGGCACCTTCTCCTGTTTGACAGCCTGAGTGTCTTTCCTTTTGTAAGACACCACTCAGAAGAAATTAGGATCCACCCTACTCCAGTATAACCTTTTAACTGATTACATTTTCAAAGAAAGATAATTACCAAATAAGGTCACATTCACAGGTACAGAGGTTAGGACTTCAACTAACATTTTTTGGTACACAATTCATAATACCGATATTTTGTGTAATGAGTTTGATAAAGTATGTCAGTGCAAGGTACTATAACTAGTACAGTGAAGTTGCATAATATTTATTTATTGCTGCATAATAAATTACCCCCGAACTTAGAGACTTAAAACAACAAAAATAATAAACCACATAGTTACCTCACAGTTTCAGAGGATATGGAGTATGGGTGTGACTTAAATGCATGCCTCTAGCATAAAGTTTCTTATAAAGTTGTAATCAAGCTGTTGGTCAGGACTGTGCTCTCATAAGAAGCCTTGACTAGGAAAGGGTTTGCTGCCAGACTTCGTAATTGTTGGCAGGTTTTATTGCCTTGGGTTTTAGGCCTCAGTTCCTTGCTGGCTATTGACTGGAGACTGGTCTCAATTTCTTACCACGAGGCCTCTCCACAGGGTAGCTCATAACATTGCAGTTGGCTTTTCTGAGTTAGTGAGAGAGCAGCTAAAATGGAAGCCACAATTCTTTTGTACATTAATCTTGGAAGTGATATCCTATCACTTTTTTTTTTTTTTAATTGTGATTTGGGTGAAAATTTACAGAGCAAATTCACTTTTTCCATACAGCAGTTCACGTACACTTGGTCTCACTCATGACATTGACTACAGTTTACCACAAGGCAATAGCTCCCCTCCCACTTGCTCCTGATAGTTACCTCTTCCCTGTGTCCGTCCCTCCGTGCATTCCTGTCCCCTGAGCTTTTTCCCATGATTGTTCTCTCCAAGGAGTGTATCTACCTCAGGTAAATGTTGTTTGGCTGGAAGCCACAGGTGTGGGGCCAATTCCAGACCTGAAGGGCAACTAGGGGCCATAGTCTCAGTGGTTCCATGAGGCTCTATCAGACCAGCAAACTTGGTCCTCCCCTTTTTTTTTCTCCAAATGATTTTGAATTTTGTTCCACATTATTCTCCCTCTCTATCCAGGATCTCCTACATAGATCCCCTTCCAAGTGGTTGACAGTGGTAGCTGGGCATCATCTAGTTCTTCTGATCTCATAGTCTTATGGGCTGCAGATCGGATGGTATACCAGTCGCTAGGACTAATTGTTTCCATGAATTTTTGGTTTTCTTCATTCTTCTTTGCTCTGGACGAGGAGAGACCCATCATTGCATCTAGATGGCTGTTTGCAAGCTTTTAAGATCCCAGTTGCTACTTGCCAGAGTAGGAGGTAGAACAATGTTTTGTGTAGTATGTTATGCCAGTTGAGCTTGATGTCCCCTGTGACTATGGTCCCGAGCCCACAGGTTTAACTGCTTCCTCCTTCTGGTTAGCTGGCTGTGACCAAGAAGTGACTACATGTGTTGTATTTGTTAGAAGCAAATAATTAAGTCCTGCTCACTCAGTAGGGGAGGGAGTTACACAAGGGTGTGAACACTAGGATGAGGCCATCCTAGAGGCTGCTTATCACATGTGGCAACTTTCAAATGTGGATATGTTTCTTATGAAGTAAACATTTGTTTCTAAACTACATTACTTTATTTTGCCAATGAGAAGCAGGTGAAATCAGTAGATGATACCTAATTTTAAAAACCAAAACCTCTAGTTTTTATGAACAAAAATACCAAGCACTAAATAATTCTGATTTTTCGAGTGTAATATGTGATATGTATGCTTTGTAATATATTAAATTGCTTAAAAATTCAATAGAGATTTTAGAATCTTGTCAATTATTTTTTTTCTTTTGTTCCACTGTGTAAAACCTTGTTTTTAATTCATTAGTGAGAATGATGAGCAAGAATTATGTTTATATTTAATGTTAATAATATATTAATAGTGACCTTTAAATCTCTCCATTTTCTCATCCCTCAATAGATCGATCTGGAATAGAAAATGTCAACTCTGTGGAGGCTTTGCAGGAAACCCTAATCCGTGCACTAAGGACCTTAATAATGAAAAACCATCCAAATGAGGCCTCTATTTTTACAAAACTTCTCTTAAAGTTGCCAGACCTTCGATCTTTAAACAACATGCACTCTGAGGAGCTGTTGGCCTTTAAAGTTCACCCCTAAGGCCTTTGTTATTTGAACATGAGCTGATCCATGCTGACTGTACATTTTGTGCTAAAATGCTTATTTATATGTGTTATACCATACGTGGAGATAGAAAAGACCTCTAAGACATTACAAGATTGGAGGCTATCTCTGTAACCACTCAGTAGCTGTTCGGATTGCGAACTCTTCAGCCATGACTGGACGTTGACTGCATCTTCCTGATAGACCAATCAGCTGTGTCACACTTAAACTGGAGAAGTTACACTGAATTATAATCATACTGAATGTTAGACTTTTTCATCTGCCAAAAACCAAAAATCATTTTGATCTCCCTGTGGTATGAATATAATGCACAATCACAAGTATATGAGGACTTAGACACTAATCCTATTGGTTTAGAAGTTCTAATGATTGATTTCACCATGAGCCCATTTGACCTTGTAATTGAAGACCTTGGGAGTTAGGAGATCATATTTTACTCTGTCACTGTTAAAGTGTGTGATCCTGGGTAGGTCTTGTTTATGGAGAGTAATTGATTGTGTCCTCAATGCCTCACCTCACAGAAATATGAACACATGTCTGTAAAGCATATTTACCTCTTGGGAGATAGGCACGATATAAAAAAGGTAAAATTTTTGTTAAAATTATTCGTAATAATAGTGTTTTATTCTGAGCATTTTTGGGAAATTATTTCACAGCCCACACCAATCTGTTATTCAGGTTTCCTGCATATGTGTGGGATAACCTGCTGACACATATTACATGTTTATGGGTACATAAAATACATAATGTGTACATAATATGTATGTGAATATAGTTAATACATAAATATATCTCTTCACAATATTTTAAACTGTGAAGAACTTTATCATACAATAAACTTAAAACAAGAGGTGTCAAAAGACCCAAATTAGGTGCATTTTACCTGTTGATGTCATAACCATTGCTTTAAGATGTTAGATAATAGAATATTGAATTTATGCTCTATTTTTATTAATTTAAGCAACACTTAATGTGAAAATGCAACAAGCAGTTGAGTCCAAATGTTAAAATACATGTATTTTAGAGTTCATCTTGGTAAAATAATTTAGAGTTCATCTTGGTAAAGTAAAATCAAGGTACTAGTTGTTTAAAAGTTCATTCAGATTCTTACCTTGTGCTGTAAAAAAGGTTGCATTGCTGCCCTTTATACACATGCTGCAGCTTGGTGAAAAAGAATTTTGATTCTATTTGGAGACCTAATCAATATTTAAGGAAACTCTGTTTAATTTGTTGGAGTGCATGTGTGTGCACATACGTGTGTATATGTTTTGAATCTACTTTTTTTTACCCCCTAAATAACACTACAGGGATTTTGTCAAGTTAGATTTAATTTATAACTTGAAAAATCATTTAATGTGACCTACAGACTTAGAAATGGAATAGTCAAGTACATTTCATCCACATTTCTGATATTGGGCTTTATTAAGTAGAAAAGATCAGCAGCCTTTGTTTATGACAGTAGGACAGACAGCCAAAGTTGAGGATTTTATGTATGTTTTTCTATTTCCCTGGAAAACAGCAATTAGATTTTTTCCTTTTTTTTGGGGTAAAGATTGCCTTCTGTATAATTTTTTTATTATATAAAATTACAAAAATAAGAAGAACCTGGTTTACTGTACTAAGCCTGTTAACTTTCATGATATGAGCAGAATGCCTTATTTTGTAATCTTGTTTAACTTGTGCTACTGGGACTTGAATTTCTGTGGCACTAGTTAAGTTTAAAAAAAGTTAAACCCTCTCATTATTAAAGAGGGAAGATGACAGTGTTGTCTATGATATAATATAAATCATAATTGTGATTTTCCTTAAGCAGGTATGACTTTTATGGGATATACAGCTTAGTTTTTGTGAATTCTTTACATGATAGCATTATCTTTTTATAATTTTTTTTCCTATGATAAACAAATGCATAGTTTTCTTCTGTGGGAAATAGAAACAGCTTTTTGAAGTAATACTGAAAACCTCAAAGATCATGTTGATTCTTAATTTTTGCTTTTTGCATAAGTTTCTTTGTAACATGTAATTTTAAAACAATTACTAAGTCTTAGGAATGTGTAATCAGAACTATGTTAGTATTGCTTATCAAACTTTGGTTAAATTTAATATATACGTGAATACATCTATATATAGAATTATAGATTTGCATTTTGTCTTGTAAAATCTTGAGTGAATTCCCCTGTAAGTAATGGGAAACAAAATTAATAGTTCATATGCCACTCCTAGCATTTCTGTATTTGAAAATAGTCCAATATTGAGACATCTGATTCTAAGTTAAACCAGCAGCCTATTACAAGCACATTCTTTGATTGAGTCATTGGTTATAAACTTAACTAAATATGGAGAAGACAACCAGGTAAGGAAACTTCTGAGTTGGTGGGACACTGTTGAGTAATAATGTACTGTATTACTTTATGAATTAAGTGATGCTTTAACTCTGATTTTACATTTTAAAGTTAAAATGTGGGCATTATGTCAGCAAACTTAAGGGCATTATGTCAGCTAGCTATTTTTTTTTCCTGTGCTTTTAATGTATCTCTGTACATGATCTGAGAGAGGATTCAAGCGTTTAGTGAGAAACAGCAAAGGGAGAGGGGAAGCATCTTCTTAAGATGAAGCTTTTCCTTATAGCGATGGTTTAATTACAGAGTAAAAACTTAGAAGGCAATTTTGGTGGAGTAAGTGTATAGCTTTCATATCTACATTTCAAGAAATTACCATTGTAACTTGATAAGATATGACTTTTTTTTATGTAAACATCATTGCAAAGCAAGGTGTAGAAGCTCAGCTAGATTTATTACTGTGCACGAAAGTAAAATAATTAACTATGTCAATTATTCTTTTTTCTTTTCCAATATAAAGTTTGCTGAATGTACAAGAAGAGTTTATCACTTAGGATATAGAATTTTTTTAGGGGTTGGGGGGGTGGGGCTTTGTCAGGAAATTGTTACTTATAAACAAAGATTGTCTTGATTTGATCCAAAACATAAAACTTGAAGCTATTCTTGAACTAACATGAAACAATAAAATGGCAACTGTTTTAAAAAATGGTAGAAATATATTGTTGACAGGATATGAGTTGTTTATTTTCTACGAACTGTAATTGATGAATAAATGGATAATATCCCCATGTTTCTGAAAAAGTAACCTGTACATGTGGGAAGGGGATAATAAATATTTCTAACCAGACATGGGTTTTTGGTGGCTTTCTACCTCAACATTTTTATAAAATGATTTATAATTTAACTCACTATGGGCTGTGGCATAGCATGATCTTTTTCATAAATCCTTTGATTCAATATGGGAGAATGTATATATGCACATTTTTATAAAGAAAAGATTTTAGAGTTTGTTTAGAGCTTCCAGCAAGGACTATTGCTGTTTTCTAAATCACCACTGAACAGTGGTTCACTGTTTCTGATAAGATAGTTCTTTTGGAAAGGAGGTAATGAGACAGGGAAGGGGTCCTTCATCTAGCCAAGAATCAGCCATGGATGAGGTAAGGTGCCTCAGCAAGACCACTCTTTATCCCTTTCCTGGTGTTTGTACCCATGCTGGCAAAGTTAAGCATTTCCTTATATCAGCATTACCTGCAGTTTCCCAGACCAATAATACTTACCGCTTGTCTGTGGATACTGATTGATGTTAGGTGGGAGAAGTGATCAAATTAAACAAGGTCCCTGAGATGTTTTTATCTTGTCTTCTAATGCTAACACGAATTGTGGATCAATTAAGCATTGGTTTAGTGGGATGCATTTTTCCCAAACTTCACCACCAAGTAACCTTTTTTATTCCCCCCGGGCTTCTTAGAAAGTTTGCTATTAGGAGAAAAGATCTCATTACACTTGTACCCACTTTGGGTGTTGATCAAATTAAGCAAAGTGAAATTCAGTGAACTCTTGTACAGATTTGCATCTTATTTCCCCTGCTTTGCAATCAATAAACACTGAGTTCCAAATATGTGATGGGAAACAAAATGGATTAAGTTTTTTCTGAATTTCCAAAGTATTCCCTGTAAGTGAGTGAAGACAGACAATTCACAGATAATGGTTTTCGTTTTTACATTCAGTTGGGCCTGTGTTAAAATTGGTTACAGTTGCTTAATTTTCAGTCTGTGTGAAAGTTTAGGAACAGCTGTGGACTGTGTTCTAGTCATCACGTCAGAGGTGCTCCTCATTATATGTGAGAGTTAGTTGCTATGGGGCAGCGATAATCAGATACCAGAGTATCAGATCCACTTAGAACAACACTGGATCTAATGGGTGTAGGAACCTTGGAAATTAAGAACCTCTCCACAATGCTTGATAATGAACAAAATGCCTGGGGGGCAAACCCCAGAATGTAAACATGCTCTCAAAATTAGCATTTCCCATTTGGTGTAAGTTACCAAAGAGATTTCAGTGTTTTTTTTTAAAAGAGTCAAATACAAAATACCTAAAATGAATGTGGTGTTTCAAAAAAAAAATTTTTTTTTTCCTTTTTTCCTACTGGAGTCTGTAAAGTTGAATATGATCTTACAAAGTTTCTGAGGTTAAGTTCAGTATTTTAAAAATACTTTATTGTCTCATTTTCCTCTGAATTCTTAACCTTTGTAGCCTCCCCCTTAGTAATTTGTTGCTTTGCTTGTAAATTTTCATCCCCTTGCAGTAATCACTTTATTTCCTGTTCAGGCTCTGTGGTTAACAGACCCAAGCAGAGTACTAGTTTCCAAAGTGGAAAGTACCTGCTTTTCAGTCTGTCTTGGCCACCTCTTAGCTCCTTACAAGCACTGTTCATTCTAAGCTGTTTTACCTGGCAAGATTTTCAAGAGCAGACTGGTGATTGTTTAGTTACTCATCAATTGCACACATATTTATTGAACATCTAGGTGCCAGGATTTTTTTCCCCCCTTAAATCCAACTGCAAAATGAGGTTCCATAGAAAGCCAAGAAGCTAGTTCAGGTAGTATGGAAGCTGTGAGCACATGGAGCTCGTGGCCACCAATCACGGCATCTTTAAGAATAATTGTCAGACACTGCTGTTCTAGCCACTGTGTACTGGAGCCAAATTGTAAAGACTTGTTAGATTTTATTAATGTTTTCAGGACTCTTGGGAGCTGGTGGTTACAAGCAGGACCAATTTAAAAAATCATGTGAACTTAATTGTATTTTAAAAAATGTATAATAGAACATATCATTTTGTAATTATTCCACCACATTTTACTGTCATGTATACTTTTGAAGTTAACTACCTTCATTTTTAGCTGTATTGTGGAAATACTTTATAATGTATGACGTCTCTTCCCACCTCGCTGTTTAGTGAAGGCACATTGATGTAGCTTAAAATAGGCTGTGATGGGGAGTATTTATACCATGTACATCTTCAAATGCTATGAATCAGGGTTTGATTTCTAATTTTCTTGATTGTCTAAACATACGAGAGTGGTGAGGAAAATGTTGATAATGCAGATTAAACAAGCATGTTATGTTTGTAGCTGTTATATTAGAATGGCACAGAAAACTGAAATATTCCAGTATTTAAAAACTATTATCTGATTCAGCAAAGATATCATTGGTGAACAAGTTATGATATATTCTTTTTTTAAATTTTATTTTTATTGTGATTTGGGTGGAAGTTCACAGAGCAAATTCATTTTCCATACAGCAGTTCATACACATTTTGTCTTGTGACATTGACTGCAATTCCCCACAATATAACAGCTCTCTTCTACTTCCTCCCCGTAATTACCTCTTCCCTGTGCCCTTCCTTCCCATTGCACTCCTGCCCCCTGAGCTGTCTCCCTGTGCAAACACTGCCCTTCTGTTCTCCCATGATTGATCGCTCAAAGGAGTATATCTACCTGATGTAAATGTTCACCCCAGTATGCCTGTCTCTTGTTTGGCTGGAAGTCACAGAAGTAGGTTCTGACATATTCTTTACTCATTTTTGTTTTGCTAATTACTATGAATTACAATATCAACTAACATGTTGAAACTAATTTGTTAATTACAACTTTGGCAAAAATCAAGGAAAGCATTTTGTGAGAATTGGTCACCATATTTTTATGCAAATAACGGGCATTAACACATTTTAGCAAACCATGCAAACCCACTTGTGCTAGTTTCCTATGCACACTGTGCATTTTATACGTGTTGTGTTAATACACAGAAAAACATGGTATATGGGATTGAAAATAAAAGGTAGTGTGTATTTTATTTATAATCTGTGTGCTGTAATCTTTTCAGTAAAATTAATGAATACACACATTTTTTTTTTCTTCACCATAGAGCTGATTGTTAAGCATTTACCAGGATACTAGTATTTTCATTTGAACTAACCCCCATGAGGTAATACTATTTTCCAGATAAGGAAACCAGGGCTCAGATAATTCAACTTACTCAAGGTCACACAGCTAAGTGGAGGTTTGGGCTGCAAACCTGACGTTTGGGATCCAGGATCTGCTCTTAACTATTGTACAAATTATAGAAGAGCACTGGGCTGGAGTTTCCTTGCAGAGTGGTTTAAATCAGCTTCTTTTGATCTGTACATGATGGAGCTTTTATCCATCTAATGGTGTTTCCTTGGGAATGGGAAAAAAGGGAACCTCCTAATAAAGGCTTCAATAAACCATAGGAACCTAATGTCATTCCTTCTTGTTAGGTGCTGTGGAGTCAGCTCTGACTCATAGCAACTCTCTGTATACGACAAAAAGAAACGGTGCCTGGTCCTGCGCCATCCTCACAATCCTTGCTGTGCTTGAGTCTATAGTTGGACCAACTGTGTCTAGCCTTTTCGTTGAGAATCTTCCCCTCTTTCACTGACCCGCTACAAGCTTGATACCCTTCTCCAGGGACTGGTTCCTTCTGACAACATGACCAAAGTACATGAGACGAACTCTGTCCATTCTCGCTTCTAAGGAACATTGTGACTGTATTCTTCCAAGACAGATTTATTTGTTCTGGCAGGGCATGGTGTTTTCAGTATCTGCCACCACCACAATGCAAATGCTTCAATTCTTCAGTCTTCCCTATCCATTGTACAGTTTACACATGCATATGAGGTGATTGAAAATACTGTGGCTTTGGGCAGGCACACCTCAGTCTTCAGAGTGACATCTTTGCTCTTTAACACCTTAAGGAGGTCTTTTGCAACACATTTGCTCAGTGCAATAGGTCATCTGATGTTTTGGTTACCTAGTGCTGTTCTGACAGAAAAGTACCACAAATGTGTGGCTTCAACAAATGAGACTTTATTCTCTTACAGTTTTGGAGGCTAAAAGTCTTGAGTTCAAAGTGCCAGGTCAAGGGGCTGGGTGAAAGCCCCTTGACCTTGGGCTTCAGCTCTGCCTCTTGCTCCCGGCTCACTGAAGCTAGAGGTGTCTCTTCACTCAGACAGCTGCTGGCTGCTGAGACTAATAAGGCCAAGGTCAGTAAATAAAATGGCACAGTCCCAATATTATCAAACCACATGGGAAGCCATTGATTCAAGTCCCATTAACAGTCCCAAGATTGGCAGACAACATGGCAGGCTGCTGAATAACAATTTGGCTGCATGCAGAATTTAAGCGAGCCAAAAGCTGCAGACCATTTCTAAAGGTTCTCCTTATATACTGGGAGCAGACCACATCCCTAAGGCAGCTACTCAGCTGCCTACAATAGATTCCACCACAGAGCTGATTAGCAGTCTCATCACAAGGAATACTACAACCAGCTGGCCAGACACTCAAAACCAGGCCCAGACAAGTTGACACATAACCTCATCTACCACATCTGACTTCTTGACTATTGTTTGTGTGGGTGTTGATTATGGATCCAAGTGAAATGAAATCCCTGACAATTTCAATCTTTTCTCTGTTTATCATGATGTTGATTATTGGTCCAGTTGTGGGGATTTTCATTTTATTTATGTTGAGGTGTGTCCTATACTGAAGACTGTAGTCTTTAATCTTCATCAGTAAATGCTTCAAGTCATCTTCAGTTTCAGCAAACAAGGTTAGATCATTAGCACATCAAAGGTTGTTAGTGAGTTTTCCTCCACTTCTCATGCCATGTTCTTCATGTAGTCCAGATCTTGCATTATTTGCTCAGCATACAGACTGAATAAGTATGGTGAAAGGATACAACCCTGACACACACCTTTCCTGATTTTAAACCATACAGTATCCTCTTCTTCAGTTTGAATGACTGCCGCTTGGTCTATGTGCAGGTT